AAAAAAAAATTAATATATTTATTTAGTTACCCTTATCAATCTTAAACACATCCAAAAAAAAAAATTAAGTTTGACTCAAAAGTCAATCCGTTCGAAACTCAAACTTCATGATTAATATTTCAACAATGATTCTAAGTTTTTATCCTCATTTTATTCATATTTGAAAAACTTTTAAGATATTAGTATTCTTATTTAATTTTAGTACAGGGTCTTACATAATTTAAATGTTCCAATGTAGCATGCTATATAGAAGAAGAATGAATAATATAAGCAGAATGTGTGGACTTTTTATTAATACTATCAAGATTGAGTTTAAACATCCCATCATTTGAATCACCTTTTCCAACAAAGATCCCACTATTAAAGGGTCATCTTATCAGACTCTAGAACGGATTTAAAGCCTTTCTTGCCGCAATGAAAACATAAGCATTCTTCTTGTTGGAATTGTTATTCTTCTTCAAATCAGAACCCTTTTGCACTTTGAGATGTTTATGAAATTTTTGATTTTTGTTATATTTCAGGCACACTGTTCACTTTAGAACTCCAATACATAGCATAACATTTTCTTTTTTCTTCTTCAATTCTCAAATGCTTTTGTATTTGTTCTGCATCGAAATCTTTTGCCATGTGTAGAAGTTTCTTCCTATAATCATTTTAAGTAGGAGGAAGTTTGGCAACAATCGCCCCTACTTGAATTGGCTTAGGAACTATGACTTTAACGTCACATAGTGTATTAACCAGAACTTGCAATTCATGCACTTGATCCATGAGGATATGCTATTAGCCATCTTAAACTTGAAATATTTTATTATTTCCTATGGGAACTACAACCATATATAGAGATCATACAATCGATCAAACAATGTTTAGAATATGGCTTCGACAGACAAATTTATCTTCCTTTCGCTTCTTTCATTCTTTCTTAACGTGATTAGTGTCTTTTGCTTTTTCTTTGGGATTTGATTGTAGCTTTGGATCCAATACATAAGCAATCTTTAGCGCAGTGAGAAGAAACATCATATTTTTCTTCTAGAGAGTAAAATTAGTTCCATCAAAATGATCCAATAATAGAGTCTTGATTCAAGACTTTGAACGTAGCACTTGATTTAGTAGTCATTGCAAATGTCACTTTTAAATTGTTGGAAATTGTGTTCGAGCATATTGAAAATAAAATTATAATCAAGGCTTTGAGGTACGTAAAATCATTTTTTTTAAAGTGATATTTGCCCATACTCGAAGAGTTTGCTAAAGGATTTTTGTCATATCACATCCAGGATAAAATAAAGTCTTGGGTGAATAACTGTAATTAGTAATATTAAAGAATTTTCAAAGAAATATTTTTGAATAATTTTCATTCTGAGAGAGAGAGAGAGAGAGAGAAAGACAGAGGAGAAGAGAGATGAGTTATATTAAACTCTAGTTTATCTGTAAATAAACTCTTAGACCCTATTTATAGACTCTTACTATCTTTTCTCAAAAATCACAACTCTTTGAATAGGTACATTTTTGTTAAAAGTAATAACCCTTCTATAGAAGTGTATTTTAGTTAATAGTCATCACTCTTTTAAAGTTGTATCTTTTCTTAAAACACATGACCCTTCTAAAGAGATATTTTTTTCCAAATGATCACATCCGTTCAATAGTGTCTCAATGGTAAAAACTATCCAAATAATAAATTTTCTTAATAGTCATTATTATTCAAAATAAATAAATTGTTCAATCAAATAATAAATAAAATCTCAACACTATTGTCAGTGAGTGATGATCATATAACGATAGTTCTATTTATTAAATATTTTAATAGTTAATAAATCTGACTGACAGCCGGGTCTCTTCAGCCAGCCACCATGATCCAACCAACAACCACCGTTCTGTCTAACCCAACCCACCATCCACCACCAGATCCACCCAACCACCACCCTTCCGCCACCTACTACGGCTCCAACTCCACCAACAGCGGCGACCGGCGAATGTGGTGAGTTGTGACTAACGATCGACGCAAGCATCCCTCGTCTCGGCTAATCGGTTCTGGTTATCCTTTCTACTATCAACTACATTGCACACAGGTGTTGTAACCATGGTCCATTCATTTACTTCGATGGGTGCTCTTCGTCCTCAACCGCCGTGAAACCCACCCAGTCGAACCTCCACTTGTGCAAATCTAGTACCTACCCATTTCACTTTCTTTAATTCATAATCTCACCGTGTTCCTTTTGTCTCTTTTCTTCTTACCCATAAGTTCTTTAACCACCATCCACTCACCTCACCTTTTCCACCACTTCCCGTCTGTCTCTTTCTCATCTCTGTCAACGGCTTTCAACCAATCTCTAACATACTTCACTTCACCTCATGTTTACACACTTTAACCACCACCTAAAAAGCTAATCCATAAACAACCCAACTACTCCATTAATGGAGCCCCTCAGTACAGGAGGAGCTACTTCAGATATCATAAATGATAGTGAGGTTAATGCCAAGGAAATATGTCCAACGTTGGAAGTAAGCAAGGCTACAAGCCATTGCAATGGATCTGGGCAACCGCAAGTCGGTGAGAAAAAAAGGGTGGTGACCCAGNTGTGTAGAAGTTTCTTCCTATAATCATTTTAAGTAGGAGGAAGTTTGGCAACAATCGCCCCTACTTGAATTGGCCTAGGAACTATGACTTTAATGTCACATAGTGTATTAACTAGAACTTGCAATTCATGCACCTGATCCATGAGGATATGTTATTAGCCATCTTAAGCTTGAAATATTTTATTATTAGAAATTTGTTTGTACTTTACTTGTCAGACATATATTTTTGTTCCAGTGCATTCCAGATTTCCTATGGGGACTACAACCATATATAGAGATCATACAATCGATCAAACAACGTTTAGAATATGACTTCGACAGACAAATTTATCTTTCTTTCGCTTCTTTCATTCTTTCTTAACGTGATTAGTATCTTCTGCTTTTTCTTTGGGAATTGATTGTAGCTTTGGATCTAATACATAAGCAATCTTTAGCGCAGTGAGAAGAAACATCATATTTTTCTTCTAGAGAGTAAAATTAGTTCCATCAAAATGATCCAATTTCACAGAGTCTTGATTCAAGACTTTGAACGTAGCACTTGATTTAGTAGTCATTGCGAATATCACTTTTAAATTGTTGGAAATTGTGTTCGAGCATATTGAAAATAAAATTATAATCAAGGCTTTGAGGTACGTAAGATCATTTTTTTTAAAGTGATATTTGCCCACACTCAAAGAGTTTGCTAAAGGATTTTTGTCATATCACATCCAGGATAAAATAAAGTCTTTGGATGAATAACTGTAATTAGTAATATTAAAGAATTTTCAAAAAAATATTTTTGAATAGTTTTCATTTTCAGAGAGAGAGAGAGAGAGAGAGACAGAAGGGAAGAGGGATGAGTTATATTAAACTCTAGTTTATCTGTAAATGAACTCTTAGGCCCTATTTATAGACTCTTATTATCTTTTCTTAAAAGACATGACCCTTTCTAAAGAGGTACTTTTATCCAAATGATCACATCTGTTCAATTGTGTCTTAATGGTAAAAACTATCCAAATAATAAATTTTCTTAATTGTCATTATTATTCAATAAATTGTTCAATCAAATAATAAATAAAATCTCAACACAATTGTCAGTGAGTGATGATCATATAACGATAGTTCTATGTATTAAATATTTTAGTAGTTAATAAATCTGACTGACAGCCAGGTCTCTTCAGCCAGCCACCATGATCCAACCAACAACCACCGTTCTGTCTAACCCAACCCACCATCCACCACCAGATCCACCCAACCACCACCCTTCCGCCACCTACTACGGCTCCAACTCCACCAACAGCGGCGACCGGCGAATGTGGTGAGTTGTGACTAACGATCGACGCAAGCATCCCTCGTCTCGGCTAATCGGTTCTGGTTATCCTTTCTACTATCAACTACATTGCACACAGGTGTTGTAACCATGGTCCATTCATTTACTTCGATGGGTGCTCTTCGTCCTCAACCGCCGTGAAACCCACCCAGTCGAACCTCCACTTGTGCAAATCTAGTACCTACCCATTTCACTTTCTTTAATTCATAATCTCACCGTGTTCCTTTTGTCTCTTTTCTTCTTACCCATAAGTTCTTTAACCACCATCCACTCACCTCACCTTTTCCACCATTTCCCGTCTGTCTCTTTCTCATCTCTGTCAACGGCTTTCAACCAATCTCTAACATACTTCACTTCACCTAATGTTTACACACTTTAACCACCACCCAAAAAGCTAATCCATAAACAACCCAACTACTCCATTAATGGAGCCCCCTCAGTACAGGAGAAGCTACTTCAGATATCATAAATGATAGTGAGGTTAATGCCATGGAAATATGTCCAACGTTGGAAGTAAGCAAGGCTACAAGCCATTGCAATGGATCTGGGCAACCGCAAGTCGGTGAGAAAAAAGGGTGGTGACCCTGGGAGAACAGAGGAGGCAGACAGGGGTCATCATTCCAGCCAAGGAGGTGAGGCCAAATCAACAACTCCTGAAGTCAGGGGGTAATCAACAACAGAGCAAGGTTTTACCCAAGGGTTATTGGAGCCAAAATTTGCAATCCGGAAACAAGGGAAACCAGCTGGATGGAGACCAGACCACAAACAAACAACAACAATTGATGAAACTTAAGTTTTACAAACCTAATATGAAGGATGATCGAATTGTTGTGGAGCCACCAAAGGAGATAAGCATACAAGGTAGCCTTGAATGGCAGAATTGCCTTGTAGGATACTTCATAGAGAAGAAGTTACCCTTCTCAACTGTCAACTACATTGCACACAAGGTGTGGGATAGAATGGGTCTGCTGGAGGTGTTTTCCATTGGAAATGGTTTTTACTTTTTCAAGTTCATGGATGACAAGGCTAGAACCGGGGTATTTGAAGCTGGACCATGGCTATTCTCAGGGAGACCCCTGATTTTGAAGAAATGGGCACCAGACCTGTTAATCACGAAGGAAGACCATTCAACCGTGCCACTTTGGGTCAAGCTGTTCAATATTCCATTACAATTTTGGAATGAGGGTGGATTTAGCCACATTGCTAGTGTAGTGGGCACCCCTTTGTATGCAGATACACTAACTTCTAGCAGGAAAAGGCTCAACTTTGCTAGAATATGCATTGAAGTGGATGCATCAAAGGAACTGGTGGAGGCATTTGATTTGAAATTCGAAGTGAATGGAAGGACTGAGATACTGGAAATAATGGTGGAATACCAATAGAGGCCTAAGGTATGTCACCATTGTAAGGTATTTGGACATAATGGAGCAATGTGCACAAAAAATGAAATGAGCCACCATCCAGTAAAGGAGGCCTCTAAGACACTAGGGAAACCATCAAGCAACAACGACAAAGGGAAGGCAATATTACACCCCATGACAGTGGTGGAACCTGTAATGTAGAATGGGGCAATTGAGGAAGGTGCAATGCTTATTGGGGAAGCTGTGGATTACCCAACAAGTCAACGGCGTAAAGAGATGGCCAGTACTAGCACTCTTCCCAATCCAGGAAATGAAAAACATTCAATTGAGCAGAGAGCAGTTGGAGAAGATCATGTAAGTGATTCTATCATCACCGCTATATATGACAATAATAATAATGTTAGTAAAAGGGTTAAATAGCCAGAACAACTTGTTCAATCCCCAAACAGATTTGAAAGTCTAAATTTGGAAGGGGGAGAAATCATAGTTGATTTATCATCAGCTAGAAAACTTGATAATGGTGGGAAAGACCTCAAAGCCAATGGACCTGAACCAGAAGTTGAAGTACATCTAGGAGTGGTGAAGAAAAAGAAAGTTAAAAAGAAAACCTCTAAGCAAGGGAAAGAAAGGGTGATGGAGCACCTAAACTCCAAAAAAAATCTCTTCTCATGTTAAAGTTGGCTTGATGGAATGTAAGAGGGCTGAAGAAAACCTGGAGACAAGAGGAAGTCATGAAATTGATTAATGAACAACAGTTGGATATGATTGGTCTTGTGGAGACCAAAATCAGGGGAATTAATAAAGAAGTTGCTATGAAAGCTGTGTTTAGACACTGGGAGTTCATGGACAACTATAATAGTCATACAAGAGGTAGGATATGGATTGGGTGGAATCCAAGCATCCTTAGGGTGAACAAGATTGCTGAAATAGAGCAAATCATTCATTGCTCTGTACATAATCAAGAGACAAGTGAGGATTTCTATGCATCTTTTGTACATGGGTCAAATGATGAGCAAGAGAGAAGGCTATTATGGAGAAACATTATCGGTCATGCTAGGATGTTCTCTTCCAACCCATGGACTGTCCTAGGGGATTTCAATGCCATTAGGAACACTCAAGAATCAATGGGTTGTTCAGGCAGGTGGAGTCAATCAAATGAAGACTTTGATGAATGTCTACAATAAGCAGAGTTAGAGGATATAAGATTTTCTGGCTGCTTTTTTACATGGTGTAATAACAGAATTGTGGAAGGGTGTATTGTCAGGAAGCTTGACAGGGTGCTCGTTAATGAAGCGTGGAACATTAATTTTCAACAATCAGAAGCAGTTTTTCTACTTGCAGGTACTTCTGACCATTCCATTCTCAAAATTGGACAAGAAAAAAGGAAAAGAAGGAGCCCCTTTAAGTTCTTTGACTTTATGGCGGAAAGGGAGGACTTTTTAACTACTGTGGAAGGGATTTGGAGGGAGCCCATTCAAGGAACACAACAGTTCCAGGTTAGCTGCAAACTCAAGAAACTTAAGGCCATTTTCAAATCTAGAAGTAAAGAGGTGGGAGAAGTCTCTGCAATTGCAAAGGAAGCTAAAGAGGCTTTGGAAAGGTGCCAAAGCAGATTAGCTCTCAATCCAATGGATTATAGCCTCAGAGTCCAAGAAAGACAACTTTTAGCTAGCTACTCCAATGCGGGTAGAAATGAAGAATCCTTTTTCAAACAGAAATCAAGAGTATTGTGGTTGAAGGAGGGAGACAAAAATACAACATAATTTTTCAAGACTATGACTAAGAGGAGGAACAGAAAGAAAATCCTGTCTCTCCAAACAGAAGATGGGGTCACAATCGAAGGAGACATAGCAGTGAAGAGGGAAATTGTGGAGTTCTATCAGCAACTGCTTGGAAGTAAAAGCCCTACTGCTAGTGGACAAGCAAGGAAAATTATTCTTTTCTCCATGGTGCATCAAAAACTTAATGAACAGCAGTTGGAAGACATGATAAGAGAGGTTTCTGCTGATGAGATAAGGGAGGTGTTTTTATCTTTCAATGACCAAAAAGCACCTGGACCTGATGGTTTCAATGCTTGCTTCTATAGGAAGGCTTGGCCAGTGATAGGAGGGGATGTTATAGGTGCAATTAGAGTTTTTTTCCACTGAGAACATGTTGGGAGAATTCAACAATACCATCATCACCTTGGTACCCAAGGTACAAAATCCCACAACTATGGGGGAGTTCAGGCCTATTTCGTGCTGCAATGTGATCTACAAAGCAATCTCCAAGATCATTGCTAATATANAAGCTGGACCATGGCTATTCTCAGGGAGACCCCTGATTTTGAAGAAATGGGCACCAGACCTGTTAATCACGAAGGAGGACCATTCAACCGTGCCACTTTGGGTCAAGCTGTTCAATATTCCATTGCAATTTTGGAATGAGGGTGGATTTAGCCACATTGCTAGTGTAGTGGGCACCCCTTTGTATGCAGATACACTAACTTCTAGCAGGAAAAGGCTCAACTTTGCTAGAATATGCATTGAAGTGGATGCATCAAAGGAACTGGTGGAGGCATTTGATTTGAAATTCGAAGTGAATGGAAGGACTGAGATACTGGAAATAATGGTGGAATACCAATAGAGGCCTAAGGTATGTCACCATTGTAAGGTATTTGGACATAATGGAGCAATGTGCACAAAAAATGAAATGAGCCACCATCCAGTAAAGGAGGCCTCTAAGACACTAGGGAAACCATCAAGCAACAACGACAAAGGGAAGGCAATATTACACCCCATGACAGTGGTGGAACCTGTAATGTAGAATGGGGCAATTGAGGAAGGTGCAATGCTTATTGGGGAAGCTGTGGATTACCCAACAAGTCAACGGCGTAAAGAGATGGCCAGTACTAGCACTCTTCCCAATCCAGGAAATGAAAAACATTCAATTGAGCAGAGAGCAGTTGGAGAAGATCATGTAAGTGATTCTATCATCACCGCTATATATGACAATAATAATAATGTTAGTAAAAGGGTTAAATAGCCAGAACAACTTGTTCAATCCCCAAACAGATTTGAAAGTCTAAATTTGGAAGGGGGAGAAATCATAGTTGATTTATCATCAGCTAGAAAACTTGATAATGGTGGGAAAGACCTCAAAGCCAATGGACCTGAACCAGAAGTTGAAGTACATCTAGGAGTGGTGAAGAAAAAGAAAGTTAAAAAGAAAACCTCTAAGCAAGGGAAAGAAAGGGTGATGGAGCACCTAAACTCCAAAAAAAATCTCTTCTCATGTTAAAGTTGGCTTGATGGAATGTAAGAGGGCTGAAGAAAACCTGGAGACAAGAGGAAGTCATGAAATTGATTAATGAACAACAGTTGGATATGATTGGTCTTGTGGAGACCAAAATCAGGGGAATTAATAAAGAAGTTGCTATGAAAGCTGTGTTTAGACACTGGGAGTTCATGGACAACTATAATAGTCATACAAGAGGTAGGATATGGATTGGGTGGAATCCAAGCATCCTTAGGGTGAACAAGATTGCTGAAATAGAGCAAATCATTCATTGCTCTGTACATAATCAAGAGACAAGTGAGGATTTCTATGCATCTTTTGTACATGGGTCAAATGATGAGCAAGAGAGAAGGCTATTATGGAGAAACATTATCGGTCATGCTAGGATGTTCTCTTCCAACCCATGGACTGTCCTAGGGGATTTCAATGCCATTAGGAACACTCAAGAATCAATGGGTTGTTCAGGCAGGTGGAGTCAATCAAATGAAGACTTTGATGAATGTCTACAATAAGCAGAGTTAGAGGATATAAGATTTTCTGGCTGCTTTTTTACATGGTGTAATAACAGAATTGTGGAAGGGTGTATTGTCAGGAAGCTTGACAGGGTGCTCGTTAATGAAGCGTGGAACATTAATTTTCAACAATCAGAAGCAGTTTTTCTACTTGCAGGTACTTCTGACCATTCCATTCTCAAAATTGGACAAGAAAAAAGGAAAAGAAGGAGCCCCTTTAAGTTCTTTGACTTTATGGCGGAAAGGGAGGACTTTTTAACTACTGTGGAAGGGATTTGGAGGGAGCCCATTCAAGGAACACAACAGTTCCAGGTTAGCTGCAAACTCAAGAAACTTAAGGCCATTTTCAAATCTAGAAGTAAAGAGGTGGGAGAAGTCTCTGCAATTGCAAAGGAAGCTAAAGAGGCTTTGGAAAGGTGCCAAAGCAGATTAGCTCTCAATCCAATGGATTATAGCCTCAGAGTCCAAGAAAGACAACTTTTAGCTAGCTACTCCAATGCGGGTAGAAATGAAGAATCCTTTTTCAAACAGAAATCAAGAGTATTGTGGTTGAAGGAGGGAGACAAAAATACAACATAATTTTTCAAGACTATGACTAAGAGGAGGAACAGAAAGAAAATCCTGTCTCTCCAAACAGAAGATGGGGTCACAATCGAAGGAGACATAGCAGTGAAGAGGGAAATTGTGGAGTTCTATCAGCAACTGCTTGGAAGTAAAAGCCCTACTGCTAGTGGACAAGCAAGGAAAATTATTCTTTTCTCCATGGTGCATCAAAAACTTAATGAACAGCAGTTGGAAGACATGATAAGAGAGGTTTCTGCTGATGAGATAAGGGAGGTGTTTTTATCTTTCAATGACCAAAAAGCACCTGGACCTGATGGTTTCAATGCTTGCTTCTATAGGAAGGCTTGGCCAGTGATAGGAGGGGATGTTATAGGTGCAATTAGAGTTTTTTTCCACTGAGAACATGTTGGGAGAATTCAACAATACCATCATCACCTTGGTACCCAAGGTACAAAATCCCACAACTATGGGGGAGTTCAGGCCTATTTCGTGCTGCAATGTGATCTACAAAGCAATCTCCAAGATCATTGCTAATATAATAAAAAAGTATTTGAATGGCATTATCAATCCTAGCCAGTCAGCCTTTATACCAGGGAGGAGGATCAATGATAACATTCTCTTGGCACAAGAGATTATGAGGGATTATCACAAGGAGAGGGGTTCACCTAGATGTACTGTAAAGGTTGATAAAGCTTTTGATACCATTGATTGGCAGGTNTGTATGCAGATACACTAACTTCTAGCAGGAAAAGGCTCAACTTTGCTAGAATATGCATTGAAGTGGATGCATCAAAGGAACTGGTGGAGGCATTTGATTTGAAATTCGAAGTGAATGGAAGGACTGAGATACTGGAAATAATGGTGGAATACCAATAGAGGCCTAAGGTATGTCACCATTGTAAGGTATTTGGACATAATGGAGCAATGTGCACAAAAAATGAAATGAGCCACCATCCAGTCAAGGAGGCCTCTAAGACACTAGGGAAACCATCAAGCAACAACGACAAAGGGAAGGCAATATTACACCCCATGACAGTGGTGGAACCTGTAATGTAGAATGGGGCAATTGAGGAAGGTGCAATGCTTATTGGGGAAGCTGTGGATTACCCAACAAGTCAACGGCGTAAAGAGATGGCCAGTACTAGCACTCTTCCCAATCCAGGAAATGAAAAACATTCAATTGAGCAGAGAGCAGTTGGAGAAGATCATGTAAGTGATTCTATCATCACCGCTATATATGACAATAATAATAATGTTAGTAAAAGGGTTAAATAGCCAGAACAACTTGTTCAATCCCCAAACAGATTTGAAAGTCTAAATTTGGAAGGGGGAGAAATCATAGTTGATTTATCATCAGCTAGAAAACTTGATAATGGTGGGAAAGACCTCAAAGCCAATGGACCTGAACCAGAAGTTGAAGTACATCTAGGAGTGGTGAAGAAAAAGAAAGTTAAAAAGAAAACCTCTAAGCAAGGGAAAGAAAGGGTGATGGAGCACCTAAACTCCAAAAAAAATCTCTTCTCATGTTAAAGTTGGCTTGATGGAATGTAAGAGGGCTGAAGAAAACCTGGAGACAAGAGGAAGTCATGAAATTGATTAATGAACAACAGTTGGATATGATTGGTCTTGTGGAGACCAAAATCAGGGGAATTAATAAAGAAGTTGCTATGAAAGCTGTGTTTAGACACTGGGAGTTCATGGACAACTATAATAGTCATACAAGAGGTAGGATATGGATTGGGTGGAATCCAAGCATCCTTAGGGTGAACAAGATTGCTGAAATAGAGCAAATCATTCATTGCTCTGTACATAATCAAGAGACAAGTGAGGATTTCTATGCATCTTTTGTACATGGGTCAAATGATGAGCAAGAGAGAAGGCTATTATGGAGAAACATTATCGGTCATGCTAGGATGTTCTCTTCCAACCCATGGACTGTCCTAGGGGATTTCAATGCCATTAGGAACACTCAAGAATCAATGGGTTGTTCAGGCAGGTGGAGTCAATCAAATGAAGACTTTGATGAATGTCTACAATAAGCAGAGTTAGAGGATATAAGATTTTCTGGCTGCTTTTTTACATGGTGTAATAACAGAATTGTGGAAGGGTGTATTGTCAGGAAGCTTGACAGGGTGCTCGTTAATGAAGCGTGGAACATTAATTTTCAACAATCAGAAGCAGTTTTTCTACTTGCAGGTACTTCTGACCATTCCATTCTCAAAATTGGACAAGAAAAAAGGAAAAGAAGGAGCCCCTTTAAGTTCTTTGACTTTATGGCGGAAAGGGAGGACTTTTTAACTACTGTGGAAGGGATTTGGAGGGAGCCCATTCAAGGAACACAACAGTTCCAGGTTAGCTGCAAACTCAAGAAACTTAAGGCCATTTTCAAATCTAGAAGTAAAGAGGTGGGAGAAGTCTCTGCAATTGCAAAGGAAGCTAAAGAGGCTTTGGAAAGGTGCCAAAGCAGATTAGCTCTCAATCCAATGGATTATAGCCTCAGAGTCCAAGAAAGACAACTTTTAGCTAGCTACTCCAATGCGGGTAGAAATGAAGAATCCTTTTTCAAACAGAAATCAAGAGTATTGTGGTTGAAGGAGGGAGACAAAAATACAACATAATTTTTCAAGACTATGACTAAGAGGAGGAACAGAAAGAAAATCCTGTCTCTCCAAACAGAAGATGGGGTCACAATCGAAGGAGACATAGCAGTGAAGAGGGAAATTGTGGAGTTCTATCAGCAACTGCTTGGAAGTAAAAGCCCTACTGCTAGTGGACAAGCAAGGAAAATTATTCTTTTCTCCATGGTGCATCAAAAACTTAATGAACAGCAGTTGGAAGACATGATAAGAGAGGTTTCTGCTGATGAGATAAGGGAGGTGTTTTTATCTTTCAATGACCAAAAAGCACCTGGACCTGATGGTTTCAATGCTTGCTTCTATAGGAAGGCTTGGCCAGTGATAGGAGGGGATGTTATAGGTGCAATTAGAGAGTTTTTTTCCACTGAGAACATGTTGGGAGAATTCAACAATACCATCATCACCTTGGTACCCAAGGTACAAAATCCCACAACTATGGGGGAGTTCAGGCCTATTTCGTGCTGCAATGTGATCTACAAAGCAATCTCCAAGATCATTGCTAATATAATAAAAAAGTATTTGAATGGCATTATCAATCCTAGCCAGTCAGCCTTTATACCAGGGAGGAGGATCAATGATAACATTCTCTTGGCACAAGAGATTATGAGGGATTATCACAAGGAGAGGGGTTCACCTAGATGTACTGTAAAGGTTGATAAAGCTTTTGATACCATTGATTGGCAGGTCATAATTGACACATTAGAAGCTTTCAATTTTCCTGCTAGAATGAGGAGCTCGATATTGTCTTGTATTGCTTTTCCTAAGTTCTCAGTGAACATTAATGGAGAACTTGAATGATTTTTTCCCAGTGCAAGGGGGCTAAGGCAGGGGGATCCTTTGTCCCCCTACCTATTTGTTTCGGCTATGGAGGTCCTCTCATTGTCAACAAATCAAAGAATCAGCTCCAACGCTTAGTTTAAGTTCCATTAGAGGTGCAAAAAGCTGAAGTTATGTCAACTCACATTTGCTGATGAGTTACTGATATTCTGTCATGGGGATATTCAATCTGCTATGACATTAACGGAGGCTTTAAACCAATTTCAATGGCTATCAGGATTACAAGCTAATCCCAAGAAGAGTTCTTTATTCATGGTAGTAGTTGATCCTCAAGACACGGAGCAAATTATTGATTTATTTGGCTTCCCTAAAGGCAACCTGCCCATCAGGTACTTGGGGATTCCTTTGATCTCCACCAGACTGAGGACTATTCATTGTCTCCCTCTTATCGAAAGAATTGAAAGCAGAGTCAAGAGCTAGACAAACAGGTTTCTTTCCTATGTAAGGAGGATGCAGCTGATAACATTTGTGCTCGGTAGTATCCACATTTTCTGGTCATCTCATCTTAGCTTACCAGTGCAAGTTTTGGATAAGGTTGAGTAGATAATGAGAGCTTTTCTATGGAAAGGGGTTGAGCTGACAACTTCTGGGGCAAAAGTAGCTTGGAATGAGATATGCAGACCAAAACATGAGGGAGGCCTGGGTATTAAATGTCTTAAGGAATGGAATGTTGCTCTCATGATGAGGTACCTGTGACTATTGTTCAATGATAAAGAGAGCCTATGGACCAAGTGGATCCATGCTTATCACCTGAAGGGCAGAAGCCTCTGGGTAGTAAAGGGCTCTAGCACTAGCTCATGGAACTGGCAAAACCTACTGAAAGCAAGGAGCCTGTTCAGACCACACCTTACCCATTTGATTGGGAATGGGGAAGCCACTAGTCTTTGGTATGATAATTGGCACCCAATGGGCCCCTCACAATGAATTGGGATCCCAGGATAATCGCAGATTCTAGACTACCCAGGGAAGCAAAAGTGAGTTGCATCATAACCAACAGCCAATGGCATTGGCCTAGGGCCNTGGGATCCCAGGATAATCGCAGATTCTAGACTACCCAGGGAAGCAAAAGTGAGTTGCATCATAACCAACAACCAATGGCATTGGCCTAGGGCCACTACTGCTGAAATCAAGGAAATAGCCAACTCAATGCCAGCATATGTTCCTAATCAAGCAAGAGAGGATAGGGTTAAATGGAATCCTAGTACAAGTGGGAAGTTCACAACTGGTTCTGCTTGGGTAACTGTCAGGAGCTCCAATCTAAAAGTGCCTTGGTTCAAGCTTGTGTGGTTTAAGCAGGCAATCCCTAGAATGAGTTTTATCATGTGGATGGCCATTAAAGGGAGATTGCGCACAAAAGATAGGATTCAATTATTCAATCCTAATATGGGAGTTGACTGCATTCTTTGTAGAGGGGCTACTGAGACTCATTCTCACTTGTTTTTTGACTGTTCTTATTCACAGATTATTTGGAATAAGCTTATGACTATGAGCTCTCAAGCTTGGCAATATAGATTCTGGACTGATTTTATTCCTTGGGCTGCTCTACTATGGAAAGGCAATTCCTTATTGACTATGTTAAAGAAATTATGCCTCCAAACTACTGTCTACTACCTATGGAGGGAGAGGAACAACAGGCTCTTCAGGAATCAATTCATGGACCATGATTCAACACTACATAGTATATTGATGGTCATTAGGGACAGAATGGCTTCACTAAGGTTTGATAATTGTCAACATAACCAACAGGTAGCAATGCAATGGCAGTTACCAACTCAATGCCTAAATGCATAGTGTTTGTGGCAAGGGAAATCTTTCCTTCCTATGGCGTGTGATCTTGGACTGCTATCTTGCAAATCAGTGGGTTAAGTGGCAGAATAGTACGAAAGCTTGCACTCTTAGGATCTCTTTGGCTTTTACTATTTTCTATCTATGGATGGAAAAATTTTACAGGCTGATTTTGAAGCTAGCTGCATCAATGATTTGAAGCTTACAAGGCTTGCCTCCATCCATCTTGGTTTGTAATTCTTGGGGAAGTACTGGCTCAAGGCCTATACTTCTCTCAGAATTCCTAACTTGAGATGGATTTCTGTTTTTGTTTTTCGATTTATATGCTTGGGGCTGCCTACTTGATGTTTGTTGCTGTTGTGTTGTGCTGGGCTGTTTTGCTTGCTGCTGTGTTGTGCTGGCTGCTGTGTTGTGCTGGGCTGTTTTGCTTGCTGCTTGATGTTTGTTACAGCTGTGTTATTGATGCTGATTTTTGCTATGGCAAGTCGTACTTGGTTCGATCTTGTATATTGGTGGTGTTTAAGGGGATTGTGTTTTGAGCCTCGGCTTTTTGGATTTTTTGATGTTTGTCTTTGAGTCCTGCGAGACTAGATTGTACATTTTGTGGGTGATTACCCTTGTATATCTGTTTTATTTTAATACACTTTACCTTCCAAAAAAAAGATAGTTGTTAATTTGAGCAATGTTGTATTGTGTTTGGGCTATACTATTTTAACTATGTATATAATATTAATCTACCCTACCCTGCTCTATACTGAACTTATTTATTAATTATGCCATATTTAGGTCAATTTGCATAACTCCTGATTTTGAAAACCCAAGAGCAAAACCTCTTTTCTCTCAGCCAAACCAACTATCACAGGTTTTGCATAAACAAAAAATTTACACACCTTATTTTGAAAAAATCACGTAAAATCTTCTCGAATTTACTAAGGATCTATACAATAGCTAATCAAAAAATAAAAATAAATAAAAAACACTATCTTAACTGAACTCATTAATTATTCGTATTTGATCTTAACCAAACTCATTTATTATTCATATTAGCGGGTCATATTATTTTTAAATTCATGCACAAAATTAGTGAAGCTTAACCACACTAATTTCATGTTAGTGTATATTGAGTCGGCATGAGTATTAAAAAATTATCACCTCTATTACTAGTGAATAA